AATCACCCTAAATCACCCTAACCCATGAATCCAAGGGGTGATTACTCACTAATCTCCATGATTATCCTTAAACCCATGGTGGATTTCAGATTAATCATGTAGAGAAACAGATGGAATAATCAACAGAAGCACAAGAACATACAATGGAAATCAAAAGGATCAATTTCTCTCAAGAGTTTTTTGTGTTCTTTCAATAATCCAAAGATCATCCGCCAAAAGGTCGCTACAAGGTGCTTAAACATTAGGTTTTCCAAGTGCAAAAAAAACGTGCACAACAATTGCAAAAAGGTCCTTAGAAAATCATAAAATCGTCACAAGAAATAGACGCGCAGCGGCCAGGCACACCCGCTGCACCCTGGCCGCTGTGTGAGATGCGGGTGGAGCGGCTAGGGTGACCCGCTCCAGGCACCCGCTGCAATTTAAGACGCGCGGCTGGTTGGAGCCGCTGTGGGTCGGTCGCTGCGCTTGGGAGCGGCTTGGCTCACCCGCTCCATGTTGCCCGCTGTGAGTGTCTGGCTACAGCGACCAGGCAGGGTCGCTGTGAGTCGGTCGCTGTGGCTCTCTCCGGGTCTAGATCACTCCTTTTGCTTCTTTTGAGCCTCTAATGAACCCCAAATGTCTCCAAAGCTTCCATGTGAAACTCCAATACCTAAAGGGGACTCATGTATGCAAAATGCAACCTAAACATGGCTAGAACCTAACCTACATGATGAAAAGATATGCAAAAGAGTAGATAAAACAATGCAATAATGCAAGACATCACTCATTCAATCATGTTTTCTTTTGTTTGTAATTAACGCTTATTTTCAACTCTTTTTTCTTTATAGTAGTTGTTAACAAAAAAAAAATCAAACAATGGCGCATGAAACACTATCGTACACGAAGTAATATAGCAAGGGTGATTCATTTTTCATACTGAAATTCGAGATTTGGGTCGGTTATTACTGATTTTTATAGCATTATGGTTAATTCTAAACTCGTTCGTTTGTTCATATACATAGTTTTAAAAAAAAAAGATATATTTATTCGGAATTTTTATATTTCTTGGTAAATTATAGCTCATAGTGTCGGTTCAGCTAAAAAAATATTTTCATACTTATCAAAAAGAATCATTTTCATTTAGTAGTAGAAAACAATTTTATCTTACAAAGGTGAATCCTAGTCGTAATGTGTGATGAAGATCATACCGTGATTTATCTAACTGATCGTGGCATTATTGCCTAAAATTTTATAATGAGTCTGGTGAGTTCGATGTAGTGATGGAGAGTTATAGTATAGATTGGTAAACACTGAAAGAGACCAGTGAGCCATTCATGCTGTTTTTAACTCCACTTGCATTTGTTCTATAGCTTTTAATTTTGGGCTTCCTCTCATTCCTATTTTCTGTTTTCTTCTACTTAAAATAAAATATCTTCCATCATGTATTTCCTATATTACTTTGAAGTTTGATCCTTATATATAGCTGAACATTGTGAGGTCACATACAACGAAAAGGACAAGATATGCTTGTCCCTCAAAATCTAGACTCTTTTTCATCTTCCATATATTTATGATCTTTATTTATTACTGGCCAAACAATTCACCAGTTTTCTTTTTTGAGAAAAAAGAAATAATGAGAGAATTTGCGTACATATATATGTAAGAGTGGAGCTAGGAGTTGAATCCAAGAAATGGATGTGAAGGCAAGAAAGTGAGAGATATGGTCCCCTCAACAAAAGCCATTAAATCTCTGAGCATATGACTGTGACTTTAATGGCAAAGCAAAGAGGTTTGCATTTGCATGATTCAATGAAGGGTTGCTGTTAGGGTTTGGGAGATTTGTGGGCTTTAAGTGCATGTTTTTTGTGGGGTTCAATTGCCATTCATGGGACCCAGATACATTTTCTTAATGACATTTTTCTTAGATTATTTTTCTTGTTATATGTTTATGTTTTCTCAAAGAGTTCCCATTAGTCTTAAAAATAGTATATTGATGGTAGATATTTGATTAGGACTTACGAATCAACCGACTACAAGTATCAAAGATTCTACATATATGATATATACATAGACTGCAATCTTCGTCAGTTCATATTTTTACAAAATATATTATTGGTTGTAGAATTTCCATTGTATTCTATTACTAAAGATTAGAAAAAAAACTTAAATATTCTTATTAGTTTATGTTATTTATCAAAACTCTCCAAATCATGATTTCCCAGGGATATTTCTTTAATATTATTTGATGAAAATTTACACCGCATGTTAGGTTTAAACAGGGTTTATTTGTTGAAAAATAAATAGATGTGGACTCCTCATGTGAGGTCCAAAATCTGCAAAGTTTTAATGTAGTTTGGGACCATTACTTCGCATGGACATTACCATAGTTGAATTTATTTCCGTTCTTACAATACGTTTTAATTAGTCAGAATTTTTTTTTTCGAAAAAAAAGCTTTCTAATTTAGTCAGAAACCACATACACGATATGTGAATACATGTAGGGAAGTCACTCTAAATAATCCATTTAGGGGAATCCGTCTGCGACAATTTTGAAAAAAAAAACTTTTGTAAAACGATTACATCAGTTATTATAAACATTTACAACAAAATAAACACCATACATGGGATAAAGCTTTATTTAAACCATAAGCCAAGTAAAAATGTCTTATTAAATGCTTGTTTAATAGTAATTTTCAGTTTATATATTAGATGTCGGATGTCTTTGTGCATATCACTCTTTATCAGTATGATGCTCTGATCAATTTCGGAATCAAACGACCGGATCCATATGGATATAACAACTAGGTGACTATTATGTGCTCACGGATATAAATAGTTATATATAATCAAAATATAAATATTGATAGTGGCAATAACATAATAATTTTAATTCATTGAAGATATCAACTTAATTTACGTAAGAGCGATACGTAAAATTAATTTTTAACTATTAACATCTCATTATCTAAATTCTTCTTTTAGTTATATATCGAAGAATGTTGTGATATGGGACTGAGAAGTTCATCATTAACAGAATGCTATGAAACAATTAGTAAAAAAAATGTTAAAGTATGACTACATAAGACGTGATTATAATAGCTTATGCTTATAAATATATCATAAAATATGAAAAAGAAGAAAGAAAAAAAAATATGAAAAAGAATATACATAATATATTGTGTTCTTGTTCTTGGATAATCGGGCATATCGTATTGTTTGTGCTATCGTACGTTCATGAGATTTATATCAAGCTGAAGCGACATCGAAATTTGTAACATCTTTGTTAGATTTTGGTTTGTCAACGTAACAACATGATTAGTGTAAAGAGCAATGTTTTAAATTGGATGATATTCTGTTTATAACTGCGTATTCAGTTTTGTTTAGTCAAACACTAATAAAAATCAGTTAACATTACATACGTTCACATGACCAAAAATATACAAAATCCAACCAGGAAAAAAAATATGATGACTACTAGTATGAAAAACAAGTGGACTGAAAAACTGAATTATTCGTACAATATCAAATTTTGAGTGTGTAGATAAAAAGTAAAGGGAATAAATAGTTCAAAATGGAGAAGACGTGGACCAAGTTTTGCCGGATGATCGTGTTGATAAGTATCAACATGTTACATGCATTGATGAGAGGACGAGATCTCTACAAACAAAGAATCAATCTTTGGTTTAATTATCTGGTGATGACACGAACTAGTTGGTTATAACATCATTCAATGATCATGTACATGGACCACTCTCTCTCTCTCTCTGTAGATCATCTTTGCATCAGTCAGACGAAACATCTTAAGAGTGTAAAATGCTGGTCCTTGAGAGAGAAGAGCTCTCTCTAATTAGGTTTCCGTCTGTCTATCTCCTCTTTAACTTCTCTACTATTAGTAAAATCCATATGTACTTATACGTAGACAGAATAACCAAATAGCTAGGGTCCAAGGTGTAAAAGATTACATACCTAACTTCACCATGCTAATGATCTCTTACCTACAAAATTTCACTCTTTTTAGTCCAACCCATTACTCACCATGACCCCATTTCATCTGCCAGTGATCAATTTGGTAAACTTTTTTTGGCTTCCTTACAACATTTTCAGGAATCACTTTTAAGAAACAGCTAA